AAAAATAAAAATGACAGACGACGTCGTTCTTCATCTTGGTCACGCTAGTGCCATTGATTGAATTCGCGTGACAATTCATTGACTCGTTCTAAAAACGAATCATCCAAATTAGTGGGCATCTGACTATACCCAAATCCCTGAGTGTTAGTGTTTTGTTGTGGTCCTAATTCAAAATCTCCGAAGCTTTTCCATCCTTCATGCTCACCTACACTGCCGTGCTCATCCTTACCCTCTTGCTGTTGAGACTCGATATGTGAATAATTTGGCTAGGATTGGGCGGCCTTATAATCATCATCTTTCATTTGCCCTTAGACCCCTTCCCACTCTCTCTCATTAAGTGCAATATCACCGACATCTCCCACGAATTGTGGATATGTTGGCGGGCTACTTCCTCTTTCATGTTGCTCATCACCTACTTCAAGATCTTCCTCACCGATAGCCTCAAGGAACGCTCTCTTGTGCAATACTGACTCCTCTTCTTCTACTACCCATTGTTCTGTTGTGTCTATGACAAATGTTGTGTCCAAGTACATCGGCCCATAGTCTTCAAGCTTCCTTCTTATTTGTCGCTCTTGGAGGTTTAAATTATAATAAACGTAGACTAGTTTATGAAGCTTCTCCGAAACGAGTCGATTCCTCCTAGTAGTGTGGAACTATTGGAACGGACTCCAGTTTCGCTCACACTCAGTAGCAAAACATATCTGGGAGAGCACCTTGATTGCTATCTTCTTTAGGTGAGGTGCATCACTACCATATATCTCCCACCATTCAGCTGGATTAAAATGCAAAAAACATTGTAAGGACAAAAACAATTCATAAGATTAAATATATGAATGAACAAAATATTAGTTAGGGGATAACCTGATCCATCTTAGTTCGAGAATTCCTGGCAAGTCTAGTTCCAAAGGATTCTATAGCATCCTTATACATAGCAAGCTAAAACAAAATATTTCGTCTTAGTGCATTATTCCTCACAAATATAACAACTCAATCAAGTTCTTACCCAAATATTAAATAATACCTCTTGTATTGCTGCAACCTGGTTTCGATGGCTTCTCTCCAACCTGGCAATAATTTATCTGACCCCTTCCATAATCTTGTGGGGATGTTCAGGTGTCAAATAGAAAAATTTTGGGTTGAAGTAGTAACCTAGAAAATATATAGATAGAAAAAGGTCATTTAAAATTTCATAAAAAATTAATTTATAATGAAACATTCTAATGATATAAACATATATTTACCTGCATAATGAATTGGACGTCCAAATTTGGTGTTCCACTTTTTTTCTAT